CGTTGTCGAGGGACGTCGACTTCTTTTTCTTTTTGGAAGAGATATCGACCGGCAGATTTTTTCGTTTTAAATCCGCGGCGTAGCAAACCTGCGAAGTTCGTCGGTTTCCCCATATAGTCTCGATTCCGTTCGGAGTTGGGAACTTGAGACACATATGGTACGTCGACGGAATCGCTTGCATCGAATTTAACCACGGTGTTCCTACGATTGCGTTATAGGACATAGGTCGATCGACGACTTCGAACTCGACGTTTTTCACTATGGTCCCGGCGCGAACTGCCAAGTTGATCGCTCCGAGGGTCATAATGATTTCTCCCGAGAGTCCTACTAGCGGGCTTGCGTTTTCCGCAATTTCGGACAGATCGATTTTCATTCTCTCGAGAGTATTTTTGAAGATGATATCAGCCGAGCTTCCGGTATCGACTAATATCCTTGCGACATCCATATTCCGGATCGTCAGCTCAATAACGAGAAGATCGTTGAGAGGTTTGACCGAATCGATCGTTGCTCTTTTCTCGAACGATATGACGACGCCGTTCAGATTAGGCATGTTATTTCTCGTTCGTTTTAGCGATTATTGTGTAATAGAATCCGACCCCCCCCCTCCTTCTAGCGCCAAACTGTGGGAACCGAAATCCACACTGTCGATTTTCCGCCAAATATGGAAACTTAGGGTGAAACCCTAATTTTCCCGAGGTCCTGGATCTCTGCGAAAATCACTAAAACAAACGAATTTAAAAGAATATGGATGAACAATAAAGAATAGAGATTAAGAACTTGTGCGAAAGCTTTTATTGGATTAGAATTGACAACTGTTACAAGAAGAATTGAAGAACTTAGACGTCGAAACGTTCTAAGGATCTGAATTGCTAGTCTAAACGCTAAGTCCTAAACTCCTAAGCTAACAGCCGTCTTTTTAGGTCTAATTTTTGTCCTCCTCTTATGCCCTACGCCTCTGGTTTATATACTTCTTGCCTTGACGGTTCGATCTTTCCATTTTGCCGGATTTGAGTATTTTGGGAATCTTCCATTTTTCTCGATCCTTCCTTTTCTTCCGCGGAAATCTTCTATTTATCTTCAAACTTGCCTTTATTTTCCTTCTGCGAATAAACCGTCAAAAGTTATCAAATCTGCGGGTTAGATTCCATTGAAATCGCGAGATGGGTTTTTATCGCGTTTTAGGTCATTCTGGGCCGTTTTGCGATAAAAACCGTTTTCCGAATTTTTAAGGGATCGTTTCCTGATCTGACGTCGTTTTTAATAAATTACTCGAGTTAATCGCAAGGTTTTACGGTTTACTCGACTTTTTATTAAAAACACGTTTTTTGCGACTTACTCGGCGTTTTTTATTAAAAACACGTTTTTTACGACTTACTCGGCTTAGTTCGCCGATGGGCGAACTAGTGGAGTGTCCTTAGTTCGCCCATCGGCGAACTAAGCCGGGCCGGCTTAGTTCGCCGTTGGGCGAACTAGTGGAGTTTCCCTAGTTCGCCCTTCACGAACTAAGCCGGGCCGGCTTAGTTCGCCCATGGGCGAACTAGTGGAGTGTCTCCTAGTTCGCCCATCGGCGAACTAAGCCGGGCCGGCTTAGTTCGCCCATGGGCGAACTAGTCGTGACTAGTTCGCGTTTTACGGCGGTTTCGGTTTTTTGCGGTTTCGTAAAACGATTCTCGAATTTTATAAAACGATTCTTCGAGTTTTATAAAACGATTCTTCGAGTTTCATAAAACGATTCTCGAGTTTTATAAAACGATTCTCGAGTTTTATAAAACGATTCTCGAGTTTTATAAAACGATTCTGAGTTTTATAAAATCTCTTTTGCAGAAAGTAATGATCTCCCTTTTACAGAAGCTATCGCAGACGTTGATTTCGAGAGTACGGTTTTCGACACCAACAGATAAGACAGTGGTGATAGAACTAGGAGACAGGTGAACC